GCTTGGTGTCCTTACACACAGTCCGACCTTCAACGCCAAGCATCAAAAAAGCCCGTCTCAAAGCTCAACGTGAATAAAACCTTGGAGGTGTTTCCCTGCTCAGTAGCTACAAGCTCTGCGAATGGTACAATGCAAATCTCCCCAACAGCGATTCTCGTCGGTTACCTAAATGAGGCAACAATCTGACCGAGCGAATGAGGCAGACAATATAAGGCTTGTGTCGGGTCATGACATATCAAAAATGATCGAGGATCTTTCCCAAGATTCGAGTCATCAAATAATACCAACATTCATCATCATGCAATTATCACAATAAAATAACACGTTAAAGGTGAAATAATGAAAGAAGCAAAGGTACACAAAACGACCTAAAAGTTTCATTCATTTCTAAATGTAAAAATGTATAAGTTCTTCTATTCAAAAGAATTCATTTACAAAAAATATCTTTCCAAATTTTTCGAGAAGAGGTCTTTTGGAGTTCATACTGGAGGACCTCCATGGTCTCCAAAGTCCAATTCGTCTCCTGAAGATCCTTAGGAGCTAGTGTACAACGCCACAAATTTATCTGAGTCCTCAAACTTCAGGTGACAAGGCTCGACGGACTCATTTTGGTCGATATTTGTAATGCTACCAACCTAAAGTTTCTCTCTCAAAATCCTTCCTGTTGTGGATGGGAGTCGAGCTCCTAAAAAAACTCCTTGGTCTTCATGGTCACTGCCTTTGCTTTCAGCTCCTTAGCTTCTTTTTGTGTGATTGACAGAAGTTCCGACATAGTAGTAATCTCCTCCGTTGCCTCCAATTTCCTCTTAGTTATCACCCCGCTTGCTTCTCAGCCTTAGCGAGCATGATTGAGATCTCAGCCCTTTTTGAGGCAGCAACCCACTTCATCTCCATTTGGTCGAGCGCAATTAACTTGAGGTGGGAAGCCATCCACTCCTTAAGATGGTAGCAATTTATCTTCTTGAAGAGCTATGGACGCTCAAGTGCCCAGAGGGACTTTGCGTAGGTTCGGTACTAGATCAATTAAAAAAATACAGACGGTTAGACTTTGGCCGATGGTGAGCCATCGTATCAATCTACCTCCCGATGGATTGAACTGCAACGACTGTCGAAGCAATTCTAGATTTTTTCCCCTTTGCTCTAAGAAGGAACCCCATCAACTAGGGAACTTGTCCTTTTCTTTCGATAGGAGGGAGGAACTGGAGGAGTAGACTCACAGACCGACTCTTTCCTTTCTTGATGTTGCATTTCCTCTTGAGATGCTGCCCTGAATCAGTCTCTGATTCGTTCCGAGCGGTAGAAGCAGGCTGACTAGCCTCTCTTTGTGTAGAAAACCCAATGTACGTAGCATCTGGGCGAGGCAAGGCCGACCGTGTTTTCGTTCTTTCCTTAGAGGATTCCATCTTCAGCTTCACTCTCTTTTGGGCAACTAGGTGCCTCCAAACTCTCGCCGACGCGCATCCAAAGCTGCACCCAACCAATAATTGTTATTGAAAGTCGATGGTCCTTTTTCTATGTTGGTTAGTTCACCGATGGAAATTTACTCGATCACCACCGTAGGTGCAGAGATAGAAAAAAAATTCCGAACCTAATGTACCGACTTCGTCGCCGCGAGCCTCCATCGACCTTCCTTCAACTTCCTAGGTAGGAACTATCCTAGTCCAAGCCTCAACTTTTGCTTTCTTTCGGGCAGTCCAGGCAACGAATACCACCTTCTGCTCGACTTCTTCTATGTCAGTGGCGAACCACAAATTCGTTGTCATTCGGCCAAATACCCCAGGAAATAGAACCCTATTGACTTTCGTTGGATCTGTGTACTTGCAAAATGAAAGTAGCGGCCCGTCAATTTCAGCTCCCTCAACCCGAGAATAATCCTCCCCCTTCCTTCTCTTGAAGGCATCCCCGGTCGGCACAGTCTTGATGCCTCAGTTCGCAAAGGACGAGGCGATGAAGAACTTGAACTTTAACTCATGCACTTTATTCTCCAAGTTTGAGAACTGAAACCAACCGAATGTTTCAAATTGCACGTACCTGTCAGCCTCCACCCAGAAAATAAACATGTTGCTGAACAATTCAGCCTACTACGAGATTCCTTTTAGCCGATAGAAAACTTAATAGACCATAATCGTCGTGATATAACTCAGCTTAATCTACGCCGGGATAACTCCATATATCTGTTGGTCTTTGTAAACGACCAGGTCGTCACCGAACCGATCAGTCTCCCTCTCATTCGAGATGAAATCTATCTTTGACTGGGACAAAATCGAACTCTCGATCGTAGCTATCAAGCCAAAAGTTGGAAGAGTTTTTTTTCGAACCATCAAAAAATGAGAGGGAAGATCAAATGAAAGAAAAAATTAAAAGAAAGGAAGAAAACTGAGTGACACAAGCTCAGAGAGAAAAGATAGCAAGCATGCAAATACATACTTCAACTCCTATTTATAGGGATGCAGTGGAAGTGGAAACATCACACAAAGATTTCTAGAGTAAAGCATTACATCAGCACATAAATCGAGATATTTTTATTTCAAAAATAAAGAAATTACATTCGGGCTCTAGTTCAATAGAAGATACTTCACAAATTGGTCATCGACCACCTTGAACAGTACAAAACCTTTTCTAACTAATCTTCTATGCAACATCTGACCGTCGAGCTTGAACTGTTCGATCGATCAGTCTCAAAGTGAGCCCTCTGCCCGAAGGTACCTTCCCCAAGTCCGGACACTTCATGACGAAGAGTATTTGTCTCTTCTGACATCTCCTCCAGTTGGATCAACACTTCGTGGAGATCTACCTCTTGTCGAGCTCGAGCAACCTCAATTTCGTCGAGGCGACAAGTCAATATTCTTGGGGACATCCTGCATCCCTCAACCACTTCCTTGTGAATCTTCATAGGGTCGACCAGGTAGCTGACTACATTTTCCTCCGCTTGGTGTGCTAGAGCAGCCATCACAATGTGATTTTGGCCATCACCAACAAGAGGCAAACCTCGATCTGAGCGTCCTCATTTACTTCAAGAATAAAAAATTAATACGAAAGAAGAAAAAAATCCAAGTCCTAAGACAAATAAAAATATGTACTAAGTAACCTCTCAACCTCGAACTATGTAGTTTCGTTTACATTCAATGATTGGTCGGCCACCTCCACCAATTCTCGATACACCGGCCGGTTGAGGAGCACTTGCAATCTCTAGCTAGCTTGGAACCTCAACAAGGGCTTTAGTCGAAGGACCAACCGTCGAACCACCCTGCTTTTTCCAAGTGTTGGGTCGACCCTTCTCTAGAGCCTCTCAAATCTAGTCCGACGATTCCTCCTGCCCCACTCACTCGGACTACTTCGGCTTCTTAGCCAGTTTCTTCTCCCATTTTTTCTTGGCTTGCCTTCTGCTGGTGCTGCTACTTCACCCCAAGAGCAGCCACAATTGATACATTTCAACGTCAACTCAGATCGCTTCTCCATAAAAACGTCACAGAAGCCGAGCAGATGCAAGGAGAAACAGGCTCAAGATACGATAATCGTCCACTACGCCCTATATATAAGGGTCATTGGCAAGGAAATCCAAGAAGGCTAACTATTGCATTAATTTATGACTATTAAAATTTGATTTATTGCTTTAAAAAAAAATTATTCTTATCACAGCTGTCACTATCAAGGAAAAAGAAAATTGGGGAACTTAATATATATATATAATGGTCTGCATGAATCTCGAGATAATCTACGGTCCAGATTAAAGGAAACATGATGGGGATTCTCCGTGATGAAAAACTACAAGTCCTCATGAATTTGACCGGTTGAAGTCCACCCAACCAACTGATAACCAGCCGACCGAAGGGTTTCCAACTAACCGAAGGTCAGACGATCAAAGGGCAACCAATGCTAACAAGGGGCAGACATCCACACCAACGACCAGATAAAGGTTAAAGACCACCCAATAATCTCACAAGTATCAATGTGAAGCTCTATCAACTACTCCCCCAAAGATCACTTAAGAGACTGTTTGGGGTTGCTGCAACTTTTTAATAAGCTGCTGATAAGCAGTTGATCTAGATAAGCTGTTGATTAGCAGCTGATCCGGATAAGCTGGTTTGTTGTTTGGTTTGTGTTATTAGAAAATAGTTATTTTGCAGTTGTTTTTTGGATAAATGACTATTATGTCTCTGTCAAGTAATGTTGTTTGTAACAGAACTGTCATAACAATATATTTGATACTTGAAAAATAAAAACTGACTTCAGAACAATACAAAAAATAATATGCACATCTCATTTAACAGTAAATATCAAGATTGCTAAAAAAAACAAAATTATTAAAATTACAATTAAAAATATGATATTATTAATTTTAAAATACAGACGGTGTATGTCACGAGCTACGTCGTCCTCCAGGGATACCATCTAACAGTATGTCACAAGCTCATGTGTATCACATATGCATACTACCAAAAAAATGTCATCCAAAAGTACCTCCAAAACCTCTGCATCGAAAAGAAAAGAGGAACTTGGTTGTCTTTATTAGAATTTCACATGTGACACCAAACAACAACGATTAACAGGTCATCTAGAAGTATCTCAAAAACCCCAGCATCGAAAAGACAAGAGGAACTTATTTGTCTTTATCTGTATTTCACATGTGACACCAACTAACAGTGACCAATAGGTCATCCAAAAGAATCCACAAGGTTGAACGTCTCATCATGGACCTCAAACCCAAAATAAAAAAGAACTAAAAGGAATCCGCTTTGGATTCAACAATATTATTTTTTTATTTATATATTTTTAAATAGCTTCTAGGAATACAAAATGACATTAAGCCAAGGCTGTGAGAGCAAAATAGGAATCACAGTTGTTTTTTTTTTTTTTTTTTTTTTTTTTTGCATTATTTACTTTTCATGTCATACAAACTGAAAGGCTATATTTGGAAATCCAAATGTCGTCCATACCATCTACTTCAATGCTATATAGTGATGCTTGAGATATTTTTTTCTTTATCTCTGGTTTGACAGAGGCGAGTATCTTCAGAAAGATGTGCAGAACTTACTATCGTTGCAGCAACCCATGGGCTGAAGGAAGCTTGGATATCATACCATGTAATTCTCATTTCTGTAATAGGCCAACTAATGATTTATTTTTGAGACAATTACATACATAGTACTCAAAACATTGCTATTACAAATCTAGCACAGCCTTTCATCAGTTTTTCAAATTCCCGCTCAAATATCAAAATTTATGATAAATCCCCAACCCATATTTTTTATTTTATCAAACTCACAATGGTTTGATCGTGGCATGCATAAATGCATCGATTTGAAAACATTGCTATTACAAATCTAGCACAGCCTTTCATAAGTTTTTCAAATTCCCGCTCAAATATTAAAATTTATGATAAATCCCCAACACATGTTTTTTATTTTATCAAACTCACAATGATTTGATTGTGGCATGCATAAATGCATCGATTTGGTAGATAAAAAAAATCACATGGGTGCTAGCATTATAAGTAATAATGTTTCCAGTGTGGTATATGTAATTATCCTTTCATGTTTTTGAGAGGGTAACTAGCGCGGCTAATATTTATGTCATGTTTATCTGATCATTTTCCGCGTAATATTTATTTCATTCTCACTTTTTTGCAGCCTGTTTTGCTAGTTATGTACTTGGCACAGTACATGCCAACAGTTGGATTATGGTTAATCGACAAGGTAAAGACCTTTAAATCTACGGAATACTAAAAATGGGCCTGTTTGGACGGATGGATAAAATTGAATAGTTTTCCCTCAAATTTTTCATAACTTTTTCTTAGAAAAATTGATTCTGACACAATAGAAATTATAATTGAGAAGACAGCTTTTGAAATGCACTAATAGTAAGTGCAAAAAAAAAAAGAAATAAGTCATTATTAGATGAAGCCTAGTAGATTAATTACACAAAACAATCAAAGCCAGTCTTGCACGATGTTGATGCTATTTACTAGAGAGATTTAATTAGCAACTGAGATGATGATTTAGATAAAGCACTCCATTTATTGTTCTGATGTACATATTTTTGATAAAATTTTGTTGCAGATTGGTGCAAATCGTTTGAATGCTGCAAAGGGAAAAGGCAATACTGATAGCTGGGAGCTACTTTTTGGTAAAAAGTGGAAAACGGCATGATTTCATCTGCCTGATTACTCGTTTGGGTTTGTCAACAATTTTACTTTATACAATTATAAGTTCAGGTTATAATGGCCTTGTTTATCATCTCTTTGCCTGCTCACAAGAGATATTCCAAACATTCAGAATGATTTAATCATATAAATCAGAATGATTTTAATAGAATTTTTTCTATTCAATCCTAGCCATCCAAAATGAATTGGATATCTGGAATGCCTCGCCACATCTCTATGGCTATAAAATTGCATTCTTAATTCAACTTTATATTTTTTATTTTTATTTTTTGTTTTGCACAAATCTTAGGCTGTGAAAATGTCTGGATTTAAAAGAGTTTAACATATTAATGTGTGCATGGAATTTAATATCATGTCCTAAAAAACTTGATGGATTCAAATCTGTAGGTGAAAATATTAGAACCTTACTAATCAGTCTTACAAGGTTTCACAAAGGAACAATTAGTTGATTGGAAAAAGAGAGAGAATTGAAAAGAGGATGCTTTTGAGAATTTTATTGCTAGCACAAAACACAGAATGATCATTTCTAAAAATATACCGTTTGCACTTATATTATTAGATTTTTGGGTGCTGCAGAAAATGCTGCACCTTGAACTTATGGGTAGTGAATGGAATAAATATTTGATTGAAGAGTTATAGGCACAATGCGAACATCATGGTGAGAACATTATTGAATACACATGGGTAACTACTTGGGCGAGTGATGGGGAGGGTTGGATAGATGAGATCTCTGGTTTTTAGAAGGGAAGTTTGACTTGATGACAAAATTGTTGGTCATTTGGGATGGGAAATATTTGCATACGGAACACGCACGTAGCTCTGCATGCATACTCCATTAACCCCGCAATACCCCCATAATAACCTATGAATAACATCGAAATAAAACCCTCAAAGGTTATTGGGGTTATAAGTTATTTAAATTAATACATCAATAACCTCTCAATAACTCCCTAATAACCGCGAATGACCGCGAATAGGAGGTTTTTGAGAGGTTACTACGCACGCAGTTTTGCGTGCGTAGTGTGTATGCAAATATTTCTCATTTGGGATTAAGCATTGATGAGCCGCTTCTATTGATTGGGTGAGTGGCCCCTCGAATTTGGATGAGTTTAGAAAGAAAATTGTTGATTCAATCCTAGCCATCCAATTGAATTGAATGTCTGGGCTGCTTTCACTGCATCTCTACAGTTATCATGATAATTGTCGAAGATCTACATTTAATCAAAATGCATTGTTTTTTGTTAGTCAACTTTGCATTTTTTTTTTCTTTTCGTATTTTAAACTTCGCTCTCCTTCTTTCTTTCTCTTTTTTTTTTCTTTTGTTTTTGTATTTTACACAAATCTTATGTTGTAAAAATGTTTCATCTTAACAGAGTTTGACATGTTAATTGTATATCCTCCCACTACACACATTCTATTTCAATCATATTGTGCGCATGTAATTCCATATCCATGTTCCCTAAAAAAATTTTTTGACCCAAATCAATTTGTGCTGCTAGAACAAAGGATTAGAAAACCGGACCGGATCGGTCGGTTCGATCGTGAAATGATGGCCGGTCCGGTTTGGACTCTGCATGAGGAGTTTCCAAAGAAGAGTAAAAACATTGGAAATGGAGTCAAAGCGGGTACTAAATGTATTTTTGTGAAAGAAAATTACGCAGTCGGCAAAACCTCCTTAGTGCCATGTGGTAAGGGATGGGAGGAAGAGGAGCCAACATATGTTCAGATCGGCAACATGGCAGACAAGCCAATAGGAATCTTGAGAAAACAATTATAGGAAAAAAAAATTGTTGGAATTTTTATTCATTATGTATATTTTTTTAATTATTGTAATATCACCTTTATATTTCATATTCAAGTTTTTAAAAAATTAATTATTAAATTTTAAAATGATTTATCAGGTATTTATTTTATATTTAATAATTAATTTTTTTAATATATTATTAATAACTTTTAAAATAAATTTATAAATTATTATATCATCTGGTTCAATTCTCGGTTTAACCGAGGTTGAACCAATGAATCTTAAAAAAAATTTTCTCCTGATTTGATGCTCGGTTTTGTTAGATATGACTCATATATCAAATAAGAGGCAGATGCTGGAGCAAAATGGAGCGAGTCAGCGGGCCTTAGGGTATTTTATGTATGTCTTATTGTTATATATGTCTTGTTTGTATATATGTCATATGGTAGGTGCTCCATATTTTGGTTAGTTCGGTTTTGTTATATATGTCTTGTTTGTGACTTTAGGGTATTGTACTCTTTTTTTTCTGAATTGAAAGAAAAACTGCCGCTCTGCTCCCATGAACGTAGGCAAATTGCTAAATCTCGTTAAAATCTCTATGTTTACTTCTTGATTTTTGTCGATTCTTGTGTTTTCTCTGCCCTAAAATTCTCAACATATTCAATTTTTACGGCCTTGATTAGAACTCTACTGGCAAGATTTGTAAAGTTTCACAATCTAAGAAAAAGTGAGTAGATTAGAAGAGAAAAGGATGGAGAGGGAAAGGCTATGAGAATTTTGTTGCTAGCATTTTTTATCCTATATTTGGACAAATGCTTTGGCTAATATGAGAGTGCAGGCCCTAAGAAGAGAATTATGTTTTGCTAACGAAGTCATTACTCCGCAGGCTTTATGTTGGCACTTGGGAGTGGTGCCTCATAATCTTATTGTGCAAAATTTAGGATTTAATTTAATGTCAGATTACACAAACTTTGTTGCCTAAAAATAGGGTTGCAAATTGTATGTCATAGAAAATTCATTTGATCAATCATGAATATGTGATTGAATTTAAAGTTCTTAGAAAAATTCTATAGTATTTGAACTTCTATTTAGATAAACTAATGGTTAAAATGAACATTGACATGACATATACTCTATAACATCAAAATTAATTTAATTTACCTCTAAATAAGTCCAAATTAAGCATCTAAATGATTTCTGAATCTTGTACATTTATGGTCAAAAGAAGCGTGTTGGAAGGTGAAATTTAACATGACTAGGATGAGCAATTTTAAGATTATTAAAGCACTTAATTGTTAAAAGAATTATTTATGATTAAGGTAATTTAAATAAATCTTCTAATGAGAATGTTGTAAGATTTTTGGTTAAATTTATTAAGTTGTTATTTAAAAATAAATAAATATAGCATCATTCTTAACATAAATGGAGTTAAACTCACGTAAAATTTGGGAGAACTTGAAGTATTCAAAGTCAAAAATCACTGCAGGCAATTATTTTCGCCCAATTATGATTGCTTATGGTTCCTTGATCACCATTTCCTTATTATCATTGCTCGAATTTCATCGGTCTACTACTATCCAATAACTCGCTCAACTTGGACTCTATAGAAATGTTACATTGTTTTCATCTCTTATTGACATTGTGTTATGCACGCCAAAATCTTTGGAGTAGATGAAAAAAAAAACATTTATACATGTCATTGTATATACAACTAATGCATATCATTGACATATTGTCAACCGTCTATCAATTTCATTGCATGTCATGCCAACAACATTAACACACCATCGCTAATATGTTGATGCACATTGTAGAAACTCGTTGTGATGTCAACACCTAGATTTATACTAGAGGCCTTAGGATTTGTTCGAGATAGTTGTAGTTGTTTGAAGAAGCAGCTGTGAAGCTACTGCAGAAGAATTTATTTTTTAAAAAAATTGCGGTGGCTATTGCAAATTTATTTTATTTTAAAAAAGTCATATCTTTCTGACAATCACCACACTTTAACAACTCAAATTGAAAGAAAAAAAAACATATTTCTAACATAGAAATTTCTGAAAAGTAATAAGAAAACAATTCCCCAAACAAAACCGTGACAACGGTCTGAAATGCAAAAACTGACAGAAAAGTGTCTCAAATAGACCCTTAATCTCTTATTTTCTCTCAATCGATATTGATGGAATATGTCATAAGTATTCTATTGAAGATGACTCCAATAGCTCATAGCTCCTTCAATTTCTGTCATGTAATCCATCATTGATATGTCATTTTTGCTGTATTATTGCGTTCATTTTATATTTCGACTTTCAATAATTTTCAAAAATATTTTAATCTTTTTTTCAGAATTTAAAAAGTTATATATGTTTTTTTCCAAATTTTAATTACATATATGACCATATTTTAATCAAAATGTACTTATCTAAAAGAGATATTAAAGACTATTTTTTTTTTGTAAATATTAGAATATAATACACAAAATATATGTATGACATTTTAAACCTTGAATTGTACATTTTTATTCATAGTTTTAGGGAAAAATCTAAAAGATTTCTAAAAATAATTGGATTTTGGTTCCTTTTTTTGTGCATTTTCTTTTCATGCTACACAATCAATCGTCAGAAGTAACAAAATTAACCCTATTTTCAACGAGAAAATATTGCATCAGGACTCCGCACTTAGAGTTAGGTGTGAAGCCCAATAAAATCATATCACGTGGCGATGACAATAATAAAATAAAATATGCCCGGTAATATAAGGGAATATTATTCTCGTATTATTCAAATTTTATTGTGTGTTATTCAAGTGTTATTGTGTATTATTCAAGTGTTATTGATGTGTTATTATGTTATTATAACACTGAAAATATTCTCAGAACACAATAACACGTGAATAACATATAATAACACCTGAATAACAATGGAGAATATTCCTCGTGTTACCGTGCCGATTTTTTTTTCCTGTCACATCTACGTTGTGTGATTTTATTGGACTCCACACGTGACTCTAAATGCAGTCTTGATGCAATATTTTTTTCATTTTCAAGATTATGAAACACGAAGCACATCTTGCTCTTTTTGGGACAAATTAAGTAAATTAAGTAAATTAATAATAATAAAAATAAAATCTCAGTTACAAAATTGTATAATAACTATGGTATTAAGGATTTTTCTTGAACAAACACAAATTAAGATGTAAGAAAGGGGTATTTACATACATACCACCTCATTCTTATGTATTTTAATATCTGACCAAAATTTTATTTTTTATATCTATATCACCCAAAATATTCAAGAATTACAGTATTGTTGTTGATAAATAAAATAAAAAAAAAATCATTTTCCATTCATTTTTCTCAAGTGCTATATTAAAAAATTAATAACAATCTGCGCATTTACTTCTTCACAAAATTGGCAATTTTTCATAAACCAACTTCCTACATATTAATCACCATATTAGCGGTTTTGATATAGGAATGCAATTTGCACTCTTTCAAAGAAACCTCCCCAGAAGCAAAACATAAAAATAATATTCCAAATTGGCTTTAAATTTTGTTTTCCTATCAAGACGCTCTGTTTGGGGGCAGCTGCAGCTTTCCAATTTTCAACTGCCTAGGAAGCTGCTGTGGGGAAGCTGGCTAAAATTTTGTTTTCCTATCAAGACGCTCTGTTTGGGGCAACTGCAGCTTTCCAATTTTCAACTACAGCTACGCTGTCCTAGGAAGCTGCTGTGGGGAAGCTGGCTAGTTATTTGTTGCAACTTTCTTGAAAAATGACAATTATGCCCCTATTTAATTAAACTTTTTGAAACAAAATAATGACAATCATATATATATGATACAACAGAAGCAGAAATTCACTTTACAAGTTAAAAATGTAAAAAATAGACTTCTATAATTTTTAGCCAACCTCAAAACCCATAAATTTGATACTTCTCAGGAAAAGACAAGATGATATGCTAAAATTGCGTTGAAATGAGAAGAGCGCCAATAGCAAGCTCCACATGCCAAATACAATAGGGTTAGCAAAATTAACATAAACTCATAAAACTGATACAAAGGAGCATACGAAAAAACAATGCAGAAATGGAAAGAATCCCTCGACACACAATTTTGAAATAGGGAAGAGTTCAGTTAAGCAAGGAAAGAAACTGTCATATGTTGCTGCATTTTATCCATCTGAGCAAAATTTTCAAAAAAGCTATAATAAAATCTGCAAGAGAAAATAGATGACCTTACTGCAACTTTAGGAGCCTAAAACAGAATAGTTTGCTTTCCTAATTAGTACAAATTTCTTAGATTGTAGGCGCAAACATCAAATACTTCCCATAAACACAAAACTCAGCCCCATATGTTCTTCTTGAAGCTTCAAAAACCATTTCAATCTCATTTAAAACAAAGAAGAAAGCATGAAACAATACAAGTAAAATCAGAAATTTTGAGACCAAAACGAAAACAGATTATCGCATCCCCATTCCTCGCTGGACGGGACCCAAAGACCAATTTAGAGTTTCCCCAATATTAATTAAGGAATATCAATCAAGGGGGAAAACAAGGGGGAAAACAAATAAAACTACAAAAAGGGGAAACAAAAATTCAGAAAAAAAAAGCGAGGATAGAAGAGAAATCAACATTACTGGTGCTGAAATCGATGAAGGAAGAACATGATTTTGCTGCCAAGAAGCGATAGAAAATAAGAAGAAGAAGCAATTAGATGGAGGGGCTTCGAAGGCAGGGGCTTCGGCTCTGTATGCTGCGATCGAGGAGGTATTATCGAACGTTACTCACTAACGCGGGAAGGGAAAGCTGGGCGCAGGGTCAATTCCGCAGCAGGTTTTCCCCCCGCTTCAGCTTCCTGTGGTCGCAAAATTGGGAACCAAAATGGAAAAGTTTTGCGGGTCGTGCCGCGTGAAAAAGCAGCCCCAAACGAAGCCTAGTGCTGAGGCAACTTTTCATCTAGACCAAGGTTGTTAAAACCAGATCAAATCGGACGGTCGGACCATGAACCAGTAGGAAAACCGGCCTGGATGCTGAGATAACCGGATTTTGAATAGCAGGAATTGGACCGGTGAAAACCGGAGTCAAATCGATCGACCACGGTTTTTAATAACTGATGGCATTGTGTTCTTTTTCATACATAATTTGGTGAAAGAAATGAACATGAAAACTATTTCATATTTTTATTCAAAATTATAAGATATATTCGGGGTGATCATTATTATTTTTTACATAAAGCTAATATTTACTTTTAACTTGTTTGATCATACAAGAATGTGATTAAGTTATATAGATAAAATTGTATGATTAAAATGAAAAAAATGTTTTAGAGGAATTTAATTTTTTACTTTATCCTCTTCAGATAGTAGTGATATTTGATATTACAAGAGAAAAGTAAAGAATAGTTGTGACATTTAAGTTCTGTTAGGTTTTTAATTAATCTTTATTCTCTCATTTACATTTAAAGAATATTGTTTTGTTTAGTTTAAAATAAATAAGAGAGCTTACATTTCTGTGTTTGATTCAAACAAATATTATATTAATGTAAAGCATGCTTAGCAATTGTTATAGCACTGACCAGTGGCTGCAACAAATGCTCTGCAATGGACGGGGCCTGCGAGCGATGGCAGCAACAGGAGAAATATTCCTTTCAGATATCACACGTGGACGGCCAAATACTGGTAGTCACGTTGCCATATACATCACCGGCGGGCAACATCATCGGCGATCAACATGACTACCAATGGTTACCCGTCCGGCACGTCCGGACGAAATACTTTTTTCCAGCTAACAGTAAACCAATCAACATAAAATGCTAAGCAAAGAAGGCGGACATTAAATTACTGTCAAAACGTTAGCAGAGTACGTAGTTTCATGCATTTAAAAAAAATAATAGTTCAATTAAGAGTTGAATTTCTTAAGAAAAACTTTTGCAATGCCAATGAACGATTCATCACAAGTAATAGAAAAACAGCCATAGTACTACTCTCGCTTTCACAGGTCCTGTACACTCAAACCTGCAAAATTAAACAAATAAAATTAAAATTTACACATGTAGCATATAAAATTTGATACTATTATGCATGAAAAGACATTTTTTTTTAGTTTAAAATATCACTATTAGTGATATTTTTATGTGATGTTAAAGAAGTAAATATTAAAATCTAGGTGTGAGATATGTAGACACATAACAATTACATGGTATGTATGTAAATCGCCCCAAAAGAATATCATTATATATTTCCTAACCATTTAAGGTAAACAAGGATCTTATAGCAGGGGGAAATTTTTTTTTAAATGAATAGATTGGCCTTTAAATGAGAAGCATAATACTAAGTTTAGTGTTGCCGAGATGAGAATGATTAGGTGGATGAGTGGCTTTACACTTAAAGACAAAATGCGAAATGAATATATCCGTGATAGGGTTGGTGTAACTCCCGTGACACCGTGACAGACAAAATTAGAGAAAGTTCTTAGATAGTTTGGTCACATTAAGCTCCGACCATCTGATGATCCGATTAGGAGAGTAGATGTTTTAGATTTGACTTGTGTTAAGAAAGGCAGAGGTAGACCTAGGAAGATTTGGGCTTATTGTATAAAAAATGATCTTAATTTATTAAAACTAAATGAAAATATGACACTAAATATGATGCAACGGAGAAAAATGATTCATGCAGCCAACCTCACATAGTGGGATTAAGGCTTGTTGTTGTTGTTTTTGTTGTATACATTTTCCGTAACTTACTAATACATGCAATACAATCCTTAAGAAGCATGCATAATTTTACATAGCATTTTTATCCGAATATTACATAAAGAAATAAGTAATAACACAAGAAAATTGTAAAATTTAGAATCAAAGCTTTCACAAAAGTGAATGGAAGACCAAAGGTATACTACAGCAAATATTAAATAACAGAATGAATGTCATATCAGTAAAAGTTACCAGGAGGTAGAGATTGTTTGAGCTTATCAGCCTTCTCAGAATCAAACACGCAGAGCGTGTAAAGATACTTTGCACATCTGACCTTGAACTTCACAACACTTTTGCTCCGTTTAATCTTTACAGAGCGAGCATCCTTCCTTCTAGCTGTGAGAAGGAAATCCTTGATCTCATGGATCTGCTTCGGCTGTGCCAACAAAACAAGCACAACTTCAATACATGTCTAAAAATGCTAAGAAACGCCAAATACCAACATAAACGAGGTATTATTTTCCACATGACCCCTTAATTCTTACAGCTGTGTGTATCTCATATATGAAAAGAGAAATAAGAAAATAACCACCTCTGACGATGCAAATTAAGAGAATAGAGGGGACATTCTTCTCGTCCATAAAATCCCTAAGTTTTTATAAGAACTGGTCTCCGAGTTCAATTCTTGGGTTTATGAGGGTGATATTTGAAAATGTCTTCTAAACTAACCGTCATTGCCTATTTTGAGATCACTCAACAATTCAAAACTGGGTAGGCACTGTCGCCAATCTTTTTCATGATTGGAAATCGTTTAATTATTCTTAAGAGTTTGTGAGAATAGAGAATGGGGTTCGGCTAGTTAACCAATTCACATGTTATTGAAGAGGAATTTGGCCAGTGCAAGGGCATGATCCCATACCCTAGGCCTGCTTGAGCTATGCATCGAATTGTAGAGATCAAGTTGCAATTAATTACTTCGGTCAGTTTGTCAGTTTTGGGTAAAAGGTGCTATTAAAAGTTAAGGTCATATCATGTTTCTTCCATAAAACTCACCAAAAATTACAATGAATATGATATCACAAACAAATATGATTGTCGTATGGAACTTATGAAGCCGAGCAACTTCAAAAAACAGATTATCAAAATTGATGGCGTTAGCTGTCTTCCGATAAGGTTTGATATTTGAACCGAGCAACACGCACTAACATCAAATCCTTCTTCCGCTAAGAGGTAGTAAAAGAATAATAATAATAATAATAATATATTCCAAAATGTAGATTGATATGGGTTGTGTAGAGAACAGTATTTTGGGCCTGAATTTAGCGGATTGAAAGAAGACATTACTATATAGAAAATTTACTCTTTGCATCTTTGGCTTACAAAATCAATTCGCCATGATCACCAAGTTTTAAAATTTTTCACAAATGAGTATTGAGGCATCTTTTTCTCTACAAGGCAAGACGTAAACCTCTAAACCGATAAATTGTGCAAGATTAGTATCATATTAACATCAAAATATCAAATAAATGCAACATACTAACATTCTAACATCAATTCATAATGTAAAAGTTGTCATCCAAATATCGAAGTAATATAGGATGTCAAAGTAAGAATATAACAAGTTAAATTAAATTCAACACATAACATTTGAATTTTGCTCAAACATTTTTCAAAAATTATTTGAATATTGTTTGTACTTCCGAACAAGGTCTGAATATGATTCAAAACATTAAAATCCAAACAAGATTTGATCAACTCAAATAAGTTTTAGCAAGGTTAGTCGATTCGATCAATGTTTATGTTCGAGCAAGATTAAATCAAAATTTGAATATTATATGAACATGTCCAGATTTATTAATTTGCACTCACCATATCTTTTAGAATTGACTCATTTGAGCTATATATTAAACATGAAGCAGACATCTCATAAAATTTAAAATTTAGAGCAAGGAACTGTGTGCCTCATGTGACAGGCCATGAGAGGCACATGCAATATGGGCAAAAATTCTTGACAACTATTAAGGCACGCCTCATATTGCATAAATTTAAACCATCATGATCATTATAATTTTATCATGCCCCAAGTGAGCAACAATACCGCCCACAAGTAAATGACATTTTAGGTATGCATAATTGATTTCCCTTGAATAAATATCTTTCTAAATCTAAAGGTTTCAAGGATACTTTTGTTAATTGTAATTTCTACATATGTTGCCAAATTCTTCATCATTAGCATACTATTCTTTAGGAGGTTTGAACCCAATACCTTTAACCTAACGTGTGAAAAGTAAAGTGTGTTTTGACTTGGAGCATCCAAGAAACAATTTAAGTTCCTAACTAAATTTTTAAAAGCAAACGTACATTTTTTTAAAAAGGAGTAACCAAGAAGCGTGCATCCAACATAGGTTCTTTTGAGAGTACATATAGTTGTAGGCATAATGGAAGCTGAGTAGGACAAACACCTTTTCATTGGATATTGTTCACATAAAATTTTTGTTCATACATCATCTAATTCAATCCGTGGTTATTTTGCATATTTCTTATAGCCTCAATAGATATGTTACCCCCTTGTATAAGCACTGTTACAATTACAATCATACCTTCAACTTCAAAGATAGTTTAAACAATAAAAAATGAACACGAGAGTGAAATTCAACTTCCCCTTCAATATGCAGAAGCTTGCTTCTTGCTTGTCACCCCAATAAAATTTCTCGTTCTTGAGCCAATCAATTAGTGGCAGCATGATAGTGTTAAATTTCTTACAAAATAGTAATAAAACGTAATGAGCCTATGGAAGCTTTGTATCACATGAATATTTCAAAGTACAGGCCAATTCAGTTTTTTTTTTTTTTTTTCATCTGCCTACTCAAATTAAGTGCATGGCAAGTAATTCATCCTTGATTCATTTCAACCTTGCTCTTTCGAGCACATAAGATAGTGTGCCCAATTTGATAGGCTCAAACCCGGGATTAAGTCAACTTGGTAATCATAGCAATTCAAGGAATGATTATTACTCGCAAGTCCGAAAGTATTTAGCAAATCTTCCATATTGAGTGGAATTGGTGCGAGACTGGTCAAGGAAGGTTTGGTGACCATGAGCCAGATTACTTCAATATGTTTAATCTCCACACAGAGCTCAATTCCAAAGATGGTAACAAGTGCAAGAGACTCACCTTCTCTAAGCATTCATGCAATTGAAAAGGTTGGGGTCAATTGTTTTCTCTCGTCAATGAAAGGAATAGTTGTTTCCTTATCAAGGTGACCTGTAATCCATAACATGGCGAGTCACATTCAAATCACACTGTCATGACTGGACAATGAGAATGTGGCAAACATCCATATCAACATCACAATGAACATCAGCCTAATAGATTTTCATAATAAGCAGTGTTCCCCTGCATACATTGGTAAGTTCTATTTCATTTTTTTTATCATCTGATCTTCAAGGGTTGCGATAATTTTCTGTCAGCAAGCTAAGGGCAATTCACGATGGATTTTGATACAATATTTTCACAGATACCACAATTCCATTACAAACTTCCTAAAATATTGCACAACAAATCTAAATATGAAATGGACTTGAGTCGAGTCTCAAGGCTCGATGAGTGAGAGACATTCAACAATACAAACAATTGGCTCTCTATCATCTACTTCAACAATTTCAGTGTCCTCCAAGAATTTGTTAAGAAATTGTTCTCGCTCATTTACTTCAGTAGTTCTTTCAACCATAACGTTTAATGCCTTCCATTAAAAACTCATTAGATTTATGTCACATTTGATTACAAGAATAACAATAAATGGGATCAATATGATAAGTACTATTCCTTTAAATTGAAGTTGGGTTTTCTCAGCAAGTATAGAAGGGTCATAGGAAGGCCACAGTGCGATGAGTTTGGAGGTCAGCTTGCCTAAATAAGTCTGGCCAGCAATAAGCTATCATTTTGTACTTGATGATTGCTACTATAATCTATGACTATAAACAAATTAGTTGAAGTTCCAAGAAGTACTACTTTTAAAATAACAGCTTCAAACAATCACCTTATCGATTAAACTGCTAATTAAGCATGCAAAAAATCCTTCAAACCATCAAGATATCGAGAAACCTTCATTTTAGTTTTTTGAGGTTGATATGAGCATTAAAGCGATAGAGCTTTGTATACTCATTGATTAACTATCCCCATTATTGGTGGTGTTGGTATTGATTGTAGAAAAATTGGTCATAATCAAACAAAAATAAGATTTCGTTCAACAACTTCTACAAACAAATCTAGGGCTAAGGTTTTGTACATTCACATCGACGATGGGTTTGCAGTTGCTTCCATCAAACTACTATTCACCCCTTGAGCTTATAAGCCAGTAACTTATTAATCTTCAGAGATATCAAAGTACTAAAAAATATTCAATAAATTTAATCAAATCCAAACACTCTTCACTATTCATGTAACCATTAAAGAGAGGAGGAATATCAAACTTTAAGTTTGTATTTTTGGTAATGCAAATTTGGAGGGTGTTGTGCATGCTAAGGGCCAAACAAAGCCCAAGTTTTGGATTTGTTGTCATAATCAAAATCAATTAAGTTTGGAGATGGAGTTATTTTGACAACAAGATGTTCCCATGTAAGGACTAAAAGGTCTCTTTGGAATTTTGTCACTGGTTTTTTGCACCATAGCATGCCTTCCCTCTCGATGGCCTTTGCATCATCCGAGTTGTTGTTAGTGTTAATTCCTGCTTACTCTATATAGTTGGAGTGGTGGTGGAGCAAACACTTCAACGAAATAGCTCAATTAGACATCCAACAAAATTGAATCAAATCTCATCTCAAAGGCCATACTACATGCTCTTCAAAGCCGCATATCAGGCTCTTCAACTTCGGCATGTTGACTTCCTTCCCCTCCACTAGCCATTGCACAATCTCTTCAAAGCTCTAATACTACTTTTATAGTGAAGAAGCAAATTAAATGAATTGGAAATACCAAAATATTCAAGTATAAATTTATGTATGGCTCTTTTCTTACATCTGTGCTTAGGTTTTAAACGAAAAGAGAAAAAGGAGAATAGCTACCTCAAGCAATGTAAAAAGTGGAGCATACTAAAATATGTGAGCTAATAATGTAAAATGAAACAAAAAGGAGATATATAAAAGCAAAATAATATATACTAAGAATAAATAAAAATGAAGAGGCTATAGATAAGTTGCTACTCCTTCATCACTGAAAAAGTACAACAAAGATTGCTTTCGTAAATATGATAGTTTAAATTCTACATAGTATAGTATCATAAATCAAAATTTTGAAAGAAAGATTCATTGCACATCTCAAAGTAATATTCTTTATAGATCTTTAAAAAAAAAATAAAGCAAAATATGCAGCAGGCCTCCAATCAAAAAGCAGATGATTATGGTGATGGTAAAGAAATGACGTTCAGAGAAAACTAATTCCGCAAAGCTTATTAGGTCACAAGATAGCAAAATGTAACTAGCACCCTTGGCCATTAAAAAGCATAAATCAGCAGATCATTATAATTAATCCCCTACTAAGAGCAACACAAAAAGACGAATGAAAATGTGATTAAATTTTCAAATATATCAACACAAGATAGAGATGCACTTAATCCTAGAAAGTTAAATGAGCTTGAGCCAATTCAACATCAAAAAATTCGATTACAATTCAGTTCTAATCATAAATAAAAATTTGGAAATCCTTAAATCTGATTTTCCTACAAGGTTTTGCCGATCATTTATCGTCAGTGATTACAATAATCCTTTCTAAACACTAATATATTACCAACGAGAATATATGAAAGAAGTTCATCATCTAATATGCTTATTCGAATTAGATTACGGAACTTGATACAATGATACGTTAAAGAACAAGTAGAACATCTACAGAAAAATTAAATATACTTTGAAATCAAAAATATCTCTAGAAAACAAAGCGTGTAGTACCATTTCCGAATTGTCCAATGGCCGCTCTTGCTTTGGTAGATCTGAAGGCGAGCGGCAACTTCAAACCCTAGCACAACTGAAGCGCAGTGGTGTTATATAATTCGACACCGAGTAAAAACCCTATTCCAGTTTTTTGTGAATTTACGCAAATGCCCTGAATCCTTGCGAAGTAAATAAAAATGTATCACAAATGTAGATTTAGGTGTGTTTGGGAAAAAATATTACCTCAGGAGCAAGCACTGATGCATCTGTACTCCAATGAGGGTGTGCCACGTAGGCACCACGGTGGGACCATTGCCTACGTGGCACCCCCTCATTGGAGTACCGATGCATCAGTACTCCTGAGGTAATATTTTTTCTGTGTTTGGTGCTCCTTACATATGCGTTGAGCATTTTGAAAACACATGTTTCGTGTTACGGGTAGAGAACGACAGTTTGACAGTTATATTATATGTGGGCCTCGGGATCGATATCGTGGCCTGTGTATTTCAGGGAAAGAATTCCTCTCGTGCCCTTCTCTCTCGCTCGACTGCAGTTGCCCTCGCCTTTTCTCTCCTGCCCCTCTTTCTTGTCTGGTTGTTCCTATTGATCTGCTGGTATCTTTTCTTAAATTTTTATGGTTGTCGTTGCACCGGTTTTCCCTCTGTGGTTTCCGATCTCGCAATTATCTTTGTAATTTTTTTTGTGATGGCATATTTTTTTTTTGGTAGATCGAGCTTGGTTAATGTCTAAATCTGGTTAGGGGATGTCAGAAATTTCATTTTCTGTTTTTGTTTTGATTTCGAATACCTTTAGATGATGGTAGGGAGCTTTTTAATGGCATGTCTGAAAATTAAATATATGTTGGTAGAAGATGGATGTTTCGCTTGATAAAGCTCTTGAGTAGAAGCAATCGTTGCCTCCATTGGATGTCTAGCTTTAAACATTCTTTGTGAAGTTAAAATTGTGAATGAATTTATTAATCTTTTTTGTTTTGGTCATGTGCATTTTAATGCTACTACCAGCTACCAAATTTTTTATTATCTCAAATCACAACAACAAAAAATGACACTTCAGTTACTAATGAAGACAACTGAATTCCTCTTGTATTTTCGGTGATATGATTTTTTAGGATCTTCTCGATGATCTTTTTTTGTGATATACATATATGACACATGTGAGTTTGATTTTAATTAGGTAAAAGGCAACCAAGAATCACATTTTTTTACAAAGTCTAATGTCTTCTTGTAGTAGCAGATTCGTTGATTAGTGTGGTGAGCTCTCTGAGATCTCACACCTGCTTATCTTTTGTAATTTTCACATGTTTGCATTGTTTCTGTGTGGGAATACCCCGACGCTTCAAAGCTCATGTTAAGTCATAGGATAGAGAGAGAGTCTCTCACATCCTGAATGGGTAGCATCTCATCAACATACTTAGCCCACGAAATAACCTAAATTATCTTGACAAGGGTATCTCAATACGTCAAAACACGTTTGGACCATAAAGGCAGAGGACTGATACACAAAAAATATATGCATTTTAGACACATATTTTATACTCATTTTTTGTGATATTACACTTTAATGGAAGATATTTTCTGTGTTTTATTGCAGGTTGTTGATTTTGAAGACTTGAAGCAAAAATGATGAAATTTAAAGTCAAAATGGATAAGTTAAAAAATTATTCAGCGCTGACGGCGCCGTTTGATAGAGAAGAAGGAATTAATTGATTGGCCTCTGGTGCCGACGGCGCCAGTGTCGATGCAGGACATGTTTCTAGAATATTGGACGAATTTGGACGTTTTTTAAAGAGTTTTTGGATGCACCTATTGGAGAACCAACCTATGCTCTATTAAGGGTCGAAATTTGATCAGAAACCCTCCCCCCCTTCGCACCATTTCAAATTCTTCCACTCAATTAGTTTTCCTCTTCACACACCTACATTCTATGTCATTCAACACCATTAGTTAGTTATTGTTTTGATAGTTTTGAGTTTTTGTGACTAGTTTAAGTGTGAATTCTAAGTGTTGTAGAGGAAGAGATGTGAGAGATTTCTTCTTCCTACATTTCCTAATAGAGGTTACAAAAGATTTATTTTGAGAAAGAGCTTCAAATAAGTGTTGTTTGTTTATTATTATTGTATGAACTTTTTTTTATATATGAAATTCGTGTTTTGTTGTATCTTTCTCATGAAGTTTTAGTAATTTCATTTATCTTTCTCCTTACTTTGAGATATGGTGAAATGAATAGATAATATGGATGTGCCAATGTTAAAATTTAAAATAAATTTTGATGATTTTTCAACTCCGCTCTTAATTTACATTTTGATCTAACCAATTGAATTGTTAAAATATGTTGTGAAACATATGATCCGGGAAATGGAGTATGAGTTCTACAATAGAGTGAGAATCACATTAAAGTCCATGAAAGAGTATTTTGTTCATGGAATTAAGTGCAAATAAATATGGAAATATACTTTGTTGGGTGTAGAATTAAAATATTCTTTGTTGGGTGTAGAATTGGAGAATCTTTAAGGTGACAGACTAAAAATCTCTAATTCGATCTTAGTGTTTAAAAACTAAAGCGAGAGTTAACCTTCAGGGGAAGGGAAGTGGGAACTCTGGAGTAGGGAGCCAGTATCCTCCTAGCCTAGCCACGAATTTAGGGACTAGACCTGGGATTAGCCAATGATTTTCTATAACACTATATTATGGTAGAGAATTAAAACTTCTCCTGTTTGGCAAAATATATATTAAACCATTTATCTCATCTCATTTTACCAAAATCTCATTGTAGTAGGAAAGATGCTTTTTCATATTAGAAAACTTCATCAGATAAACATAGTTTACTAGTTTAGTAATTACTATTTTAAAACACTGCATTTAAATTCTGCTAGTAGTTAATAATTTAACTTTTATAGTATCTTAAACATTCAAAATTAGTTACAGTAATTTCATTTAATTTCTGTGAATTTTGTAGTTAATTTATCATTTCAAATTTAAACATTCCTAGTGGGATCGATATTTGAAACTTAAAAAAAAATCTTATATTATTTGATAACGATATGTATACTTGCGTAGAATACCAACATTAAGTGTTGAACGTTATTATTAATAAAATATCACTTCAAGTTTTTGGCATTATTGTAAAGCGGAGTCAACTTTATAAATTTTTCACAACTACATTTCAGCAAATTCACATCAAGTTTTTTATAAAAAAATCATGATCAAGTTTTTTGCGTCGTTGCCGGGGAAGGTAACGGTAAATTAAATAAATTTGGTAAATTAGGAAATTTATAGATAAAAAATATAAAAAAATAAAAAAATTAAAAATCATAAAAAAAGTTATTATTAAATACTTTTTTAAGTGTACTTTTATAGAAATTTTACTTTGCTTATTATATTTGTTTATGCGTATTATTGGATTTGAAGGTTTAGTACCTTACGATTCGGAATTAGAACGTACTATTAAAAAAGTATGAAAACAACTAAAATAAATTAGAAATTTGAATGAAATGGGAAATAACTTAGTTAATCAAATAAATGAAAAATCACAAAGACCTTTAAAAGTTCAAAAAATTCGAAAACAACAAAAAGAAATTAAAATTTTGAACAAAATGACGAATAACTTAGCTAATCAAATAAATGAAAATCGATAAAGACCTTTAAAAGATTATGCTAATCCAACAGCAGATAAACTTCACTTAATTATTCAAAATCCAAATATTGTTGTTAATTCATTTTAACTTAAACCTGCTATTATCCAAATTGTACAAAATAATCAGTTTGGAGGAACATCTACTGAAGATCCTAACTTACATCTTGCTAGTTTTCTTGAGATTTGTGCTACTTTTAAATATGATGGAGTGTTTAATGATGATGTTAGGCTTAAACTTTTTCCTTTTTCATGAAGGGATAAAGCCAAAGCTTGGTTAAACTCATTAACACCTGAATCTATTAGAACTTGGGGAGAACTATCACCAAAATTCTTGGCTAAATATTTTTTACCCTTGAAAAACGCTAAGCTTAGAAACGATATTACATCTTGTTTTCAGTTTGAAGGGGAATCAATTTATGAAGATCTCCATAGAAAATGTCTACACCATGCTTTACCAGATTGGTTAATAATTTAATTTTTTTACAATGGATTAGTAGGATCACTTAGATCTATTATAAATGCTGCTGCAGGTGGATCTTTAATGTCAAAACCTTTTGATGAAGCATACTCTTTAATAAAAGAAATGACTACTAATAATTTTTAATTATCCTCTGAACGGGCAAATTCTAAGAGAGTAGTCAGTATCCATGAATCTAATGCAATGTGTATTTTAGCATCTCAAATTGATGCTGGCATCTCAAATTGCTACTATATTAAAAAAGATTGATCAAATTAGAGTGAACTATTCTCAAATACCACCAATGTTAGAAGAAAATTTGATAATTGATACCCAATCATCTTATGAAACTTTGAATGCTATTAATAATCAAAATAACAATCCTTATTCTAACTATTACAATCCTGGATGGAAAAATCACCCTAATTTTAGTTGAAATAATTTTAACAATTCAATGAATCCCTCATGAAATTTAAATTACCAAGGAAATCCTAATTATCAACCTTATTATCCTCTTGGATTTAACTCTAACCCTAACCCACAAGTTAAAGAAAATAAGTTAACGATGGAAGAGGTAATGTTGAATATGGGAAATCAAATACAAAATCAAGGGGCTACTACTATAAATATTGAAAATCAATTATGACATATTGGTACTGCACTTAGTAACAGACCTTCAGGAAATCTTCCAAGTACGGTGGAAGTTAATCCCAAAGATCAAAATAAGGAACAAATTAAAGCAATTCAATTACAAAGTGGAAAAGAAATTGAAACAAGAATTCAAAGAGAAACTGAAGTTAATGAGAAGAAGGAAGAGATGAAAAGTGACCATAATGAAAATGAACAAACACAAGTTCCTCAAGAAAAACCATTACTTCCGTTTTCTCAACAACTAAAACAGAAGAATAAAGACAAATAATTTACAAAATTTTTGGAAATCCTTAAAAAGTTAACGATAAACATTCCTTTCATTGAGGCTTTGGAACAAATGCCAAGTTATGTGAA